ACTTCAAAGTGTAGTATAGTCCATCTGAGACCTGATGCAGACTATCCAAACAGCTTAAGTAACTCCATCCTAAAGATATCCCAATTTGAAATATCTAGAAATCTTGGTACCCTGTGATCTGAAATCTTACTCTGAGATAAAAAAACACCGATTCAGAGAACATTGCACTGGTATCGTTGAGACGCACTTTCGTCAGTTTAATGGCAGAGTTCACTATTCACCCTTCGACAGTTTTATTTGTCTCATTTGGAGGATGGAGGTATAGCGTTTTCTTCCTTATTTCAAAAAGATAAGAATAGATTGAAACGCACCAAATGGCAATCCACGAAATTAATTTGGAAACTCGAATTCGAATCATATTAAGGGCGCTTCAGATCAATTAGTTTCGGCCCACTAGAGTATATGCATCTCAGAAATGAACTTCCAGTGACTTATAGCACCCTAAAGATTCCTCGGCATCCCCTTAAATGTAAGCTTAAGCTCTGCCTCAACCCGAAACTTAGGGGTAACACCGCGGAAATCAGAGGCGACATAACAGAATCGGTCAAAGGCACACCTTCTACGCTATACAAGTAGCCAAATCCTGAGATTCGCTGCCAGTTCAAATAGTTCAAATGGTTGTGGACGGAATAGGAGAAGCTTTCGCTTAACAGGCCTCTGTGTCTAGTAGCAGGGGATCACCAAATCCTCCAGGCAGGAACCCAGTATGTTAACAATAAAAGAGGAAAAAGAAATTGGTAAATCGTAGTATGATGCTGTCCTTGGTCCTTAAGAATAGGTCAAGTTGCCTCTTGAAGGACTCCTGGGAAGTCTCTTGGACTAGTTCGGCCGGCAGCTAGTTCCAGCATTTGACAACTCTTAAGGAATAAAAATTATGTCTACATTCCGTCTTGCTATTTTGTACCTCCAGTTTCTGGGTGTTACCTCTTAAGTCAGTGTTCGAACTAAGCTTAAGCAGGTGTTTAAGGGGATGTCCAGAAGTGGTGAGAATACTATAAGTCATTAATAGATCACCTCTAAGACGCCTATACTCTAATGGGTAAAGGTCTAGTGAATGGAGGCGCTCTTCATAAGGTTTAAATTTGAGTTCCCGAACTGATTTCGTGGCTCGCCGGTGGATACGCTCCAAAGTTTCCCTATCCTTTTGGAGTGAGGGGGAAGTACTATGTTTCCGTACTCTAAATGGGGACGGATAAAACTATTGAAGATTATATGGAAAGTTCTTCCGTCAAACTGTCCAAAAATGCGCTTCAACGTTACCAGTGAAAGGTTTGCTCGAAAGGCATTTTCGTCACAGTTAGCGTAAGACTTTAAATCATGGGGCACCAGGACTCATCAATCTTTTTCTACTTGAGATACTACCAGAGAGGAGTTTCCCAAGTTATAACTGTAGTCTGCGACATGTCGCAGATGGACCACTTTACACTTTGAAGTGTTAAAAGCAAGTCCATTATTATCTGCTTAACTTTGAAGTCGAGTGAGATCCTCATGAAATGCCTGTATATCGTCTTGATTGCGTATCTCTCTCCAAAGTTTAACGTCATCGACAAGGAGTAACAATTCTGACGTTACCTGTTGAGGAAGATCATTTATGTAGATTAAGAAGAGAAGAGGTCCTAGTACTGGGCCCTGGAAGACCCCACTAGGACATTCCATAGTCTGAGATAAAGTGAAATTAACGCTAACCTTAAAGTGTCGATTTTTCAGGTATGAAGTGAGCCAATCGATTAGAGGCGGTCTGACACCCACTCGTTTGAGCTTATTGATAAGACATGTATGGTTAACCTTATCAAAAGCTTTTGAGAAACCAGGTAGATGATGTCAACCTTTCCCTTGTGATCAAGGATGCTTGTCCATCTGTCCACCGCAGTCAGCAGGTTGGCTATACAAGAGTAATCCTTCCTGAAACCATGCTGTTGGGGTGAGAAGAAATTTAAGGACAGTAAATAGTCATATATACCATCGCATATGAGGGACTCCATGAGCTTTGAAGGTAATGACAGAAGAGCCACCAGTCGGTAACTTGAAGGTTCATTGCGTCGACCTCCTTTGCAAATTGGTGTGATGTGAGCCAACTTCCAATTTTCCTGTAGTTTGTCCCGGCTTAGCGAGTGTGAGAACATCACGCTAAGCGGCATTGCTAGGATTGAGGCTGCTTCCCTCAGTATGGCAGAATGGACCATGTCCGGGCCAGGAGAACTGTCTAGTCTTAAGTGCTGCAAATCCCGGAACACCAAGTCAGCACTTTGGTTCACTTCGGAAAGTTCTATGGAATCGCAGATGAAACTGTCACCAGTAAAGTTGAAATGTCTGAGAGTAATGTTCAGCTAGAAGGTTAGCGGCGTCGCCATCATTGTTGGTCGGTCCGTTAAGACCTACCAGTTGGAAACTCCAGTTTTGGCTTGACGAAGAGAGGCTGAATAACGGAATAAGCTTTAGGATTGGAGGCAAATTTGTCCATAAGCTTTTTCTGGTACTGAAGCCGGTCTTCTCTTATAGCCTTCGTGCATATGTTCCTTATATTGCCTGTACGCTCCGTCGTTGTCAGTTCGTTTGTATTCCGCCCAACAGTGCCTTTTGGGGCTTAGCAGAAGGGTACGGTTCTTTATTATTATAGGTGGCTTGCAGCTTTTGGGAACCGTTTGAGGAACTGAATGGTTTGTAGCACATAAGAGCATGTGCAGTAAGAAGTCCAACGACCGTCCACATCGAGTTGAGTGTGAACACCCAATCCACCTGTTGTAGATAGTCGTGTAGAGCTGGCGCATTCAAACGTTTAAATTTCCAACGCAAGTTATTGGTGGGATAACTTAGCTTAGTTTTGCTGACAAAACTGAAGGCTATGAAGGCATAATCGCTTTTTCCCAAGGGAGCCAGGATTGAGAGGTTGTCAACTACGAATTCTTCGTTTGTGAATACACAATCTAAGTGCGATGGTGTCTGACTGTTTCTCCAACGAGTTGCCGACCTCACATTTTCGAACAATCCAAGTCATCGATGAGGCTGAAGAACCGAGCTTCAATTGAGTTATCGCCTCCAGTATGACTTAGTCCAATCGACTTTCCAGGAGTCCTTCCAAAGAAAACTTGACACGTTCTTCTGAACTTATTACAGTGGTTAACTGTAATTTTCTACTATTTCTCTTTTGATTATTAGATATACCTAGGCTCGTACCTTAAGACATTGGTTATCCGTGCTATTAGATGAGACAGCCCGTTGAGCGAAAGTTATCATTCCACCGACAAACATTTGGACTAGAAGATAGTATCTGTGGAGTAGACATAAAGGTCGCCAATCACATGCATCATACTGCTCATAATTACATTGATTCTAACTCATTATCACGATATGAAGCACCGAATTGCACCCAAGAAATCATCCCCAACTAATGTAACACGAATGAGCAAATAGAAAAGTACGTAGTGTTTTCACTGCTGTAAGCTATAGATTGTGTAATTCTCTACCAAAAGCGATGGTGTTATTTCTTACCACTGGCAATTTCAAAAGACTGTTTTATAGCTAGTTTTATTCCAACGGTACTTTGGGTGATTAGGTATTCTTCCTTGATCACTCCTGTTATTAACTATTGTTTTCATCGGATTTACAAAGGCTTCAAAATAGGGATATTTTGACAATTCTAAATCGGATTTCAAGATACAAATATTTCTCTACTTCTGTACTTATGAGTTTTGAAACACGAGGTTTACCTGAAGGTTGACTTGCTTGCGTATTTTCAAACAGTCACAAGTTCAAATTCAGTTTCATATATCGGGATTTAATACCTGGATAGTGGTGTCGGTCCACACTCAATATATGTGACTATCGCCACAATACATTGAATTCCCAGTGGTTGAAAAACCTCATTTCCCTCCTTCTTGCTAACAAATCGTTTAGATAATTAAATGGATAGTTCGAAACAAAATAGTATAGTAATAGATGTCAAGTTTACTTTTCCAAAACTCAGGCTAAAATAGGAGTTCCTACAAATTTCTTCTTGATAGTAGCAGTTTTAGGATGTAGAATTTTCCTCGGCGTATGATAGTACGCTAGGTTACATTTCACGTAATGACTGTTTCTGTTAGAATATATTAGGTTACACTAATTTGAGATTCCAGTACCTCTCAAGACGTAGTCTTTTTGGAGTTTGACCTACAATGGGTAACTTCGACGAAGATTTCCCCGCGACATTTTTAAGATATGAAGATTCAGTAATCCCTAAAACCAGTTTGAATTTTGGAGCTTTTGTTTCCTATTGCAGCTTCTCCAACGTTGGGAGATTAGATTTACTTAAAGTAATCGATATAATAGCATTTCTATTCGTTACTGTTCAATGTCATAAATCTCATGGGTTAGGTAAATTAGATGCGTCTTTAGATTGTCTGAAAAGTGTATAAGAATAAAGGTGTGGTTTTTAATGGATGGACGAGGATCATCGCAAATTAGGATAGAGTGTGGTTCAAGATAATGAAGTAACAATAGGTTGATATTAAGGTAACTTCTTGCCATTCTAAAAATTTTCAAGATGAACGTGATGGTCCTCTTGCTGAAGTTCTTCATAAATAATTTTCTGTACTGTAGATGTTTATACTGATATTTAGAAACAATCTGGGTTAGTGAAAGTAGATATTCTTAACAACCCTAGCGCCCCCATTCTAACCCGAGTTATGAATAGCGAAGCCCTTGAGATAATCGAGATTAAACGTAAATCCTTTGGAAATTTGGCTCCAAGTCTATGCTGTAAAATAGATATTTCACTTAACCAGTCAGCTGTACTGGCGCTGCTGGCCACTCCTGAAATTTAGTTCTAAAAGTAAATGGTTATGACTGACCACGTTTATGGTCTAGTTGTATATTTATATTCACCAATCCACTTCATATCTGATTCGCATCCCGTCCTGAATACCTACCTGTATCTCTGTACAGTAGGTTTGTTGTCTTTTCTAGCGGATTTGGTCCAAAGATGACTCACTGAAAAACTCAAATCAAATTGCTGCGCACTAATGTCTGTTGGTATCGTTTATGGTGATCAGTATAGACGGCTGTGTTGTAGCTCACCTAAGTTTGGCGACAGATACGCCTTGGTCATGGATTTAATCAATGCATACAAACTCATTCCAGAACTTTCTCGTGTGCCTCCCTTACAGTGGGATTCACCTAATCGCATGTATGAAGCAGTGACTACCTTTCACTCGTAAGTATTTCCGTAGATTATTTAAGTGAGTTAGTTTACTATTCAATCACTTTAATGAGTAAAACAAATCGAATTCAGTACTCTTATTGTAATTACTTAACCACTTTCCTTTGTTATCTACATCTGTATTTAAAACAAGTAATTGCTAGTTAGCTTCTATGTACATTACGAATGTTCTTGAATTAAAAGTATCTTGTGTGTTTTACAACCAGTTTGTATCTACATTGATGTAGTTAAATTTGTCTGCAGCGGCAACTCAGTTGAACTACGGTAATATGTTGCTATACTGAGATAAATTGGAAAATGTTGGAACTGAAAGCAGTTACTGTTGTGGTGCGAAGAACTAATTTAATGAGATCGGAGTTCGCCCCATTTATCAAGGGCACCGTATCTAGTACATGGTAAAAACTTGTAGAATACGACGAGGCCAAGTATGTGTACATAAAAATTTTAATCCCTTGAATTTTTGGGTCCAAATTACCGTGAATATAGTTCTGGCAGTAACCCTTTGCTTAGTTCATAGTTTAGCTTTTCACAATAATGACTTAAGTCTTTATTGAATTGTTCGGTGGAGAGCGAAACATTCTGAAAACTCTTCCCATTACCGATCAATAAAAGTTAAAAACAGACCATAAGAAGAGCAAAATTATAATGTTTCTACCTATTTAAAAGCCCCAGCAGTCAGCTTATCGTAATGCAGAGATAATCCAGTTATCACAACGTTAATCTTAGGGAACTACTAGGATTCCTTAAGTCGGAATCTAAATGTACTATATTTGAAATATTAGATTTTATTTTCATACAAATTCTACATGTCTTCGTAGACCCACATAATTCTTCATTGTTCTTGATATCAATTTTATTTTCTATTTTTCTTCAGTAAAGAATATGTTGATGCTCTCAAAAAATTACAAATGCTACACATTGAGGAGAAAGAATTGACTGCTGATGACGAGTTACTTATGGATTCATTTAGTCTGAATTATGACTGCCCTGGTTTTCCTAGTGTTTTTGATTATTCGTTAGCTGCTGTTCAAGGTAGTTTAGCTGCAGCTAATGCTTTAATCTGTCGTCATTGTGAGGTAAAACTCTTTACACTATTTATCTTTAGGGCAAAAGTATGAATTGAGTATTATAATACTTTTGTCGTTCCTACTTCTTATTGAACACAACGTTGTGTTACTATTATTGTTGTTTCTGTTCCACCTCTGATTTAACTAATAACTTAAGTGAAATACTTTTTTAAAAATTTCAAAGTGGATTCTAATCGCAGAAAAAATTCTCATAAAAACAGCAATCACTGTTATAAAATACTTTTTGAGAAAAATTGTTAGCTATTTTTGGGTAATAAAGCGATTTATTCCTTCCCCTTCGAGTAAGATCGACTTTACTACAAATACATATTCTCACAAAGCCGAAAAGTAGTCGTTTCTATTTTGTAATGAGAGTTTAAAGTAAAATTATGATTCATAAAAAAGTATTTTCAATACCTTTTTAAATAATAAAAGAACACCAAAGGTCTATTACATAACACAATAATCTGATTCTCAGTTTTCGTCTACTAACAGAAAACTTTCTAATGTAATAAAGTATACATCTTCATATATTTTTAAGTTGGTTTGACCCTTTGTTTTGCTTCTTGCTACTGTAAAGTACATTTTGGTCTCTTTAGTATTGCAAAACCCAAGCTATATCAAAGCTTTATTACGAAATACTGAAATTCGTTTTAACAACTAATTAGGTATTTCATAAATTAGAAAGTGCGATGTTTTACATACTCCTGATTACTCCGTCATGTGGCATAACTTCCCTAAACTCTTCTGTAGTTTCTTAAAAGCTCGATTCCTAAGACAATCATGTTAACAAAGACTTTGTCCTAAAAATCAAGTTTGAATTGGGCTCTAAAAATAAAGTAAACCAGTGAAAATCGCACAAATGGTTTTGGGAATGTATATTTAAGGTCCTTTGAAATTATGGTGTAGCTTTTAGAGCGCTTGACTCGCAAGCAGTAACCATCTGCGTATGTTTATTATGATTGGTTGAGGTTGCAGGTTCAAACTTCACCATACTTCGTTTGGATAACCACCCAACCTCACACAAAATGTATGGTTTAATGCCGATTATACAAATTTATTTAGTGAGTTCCATTTTATTATTACTTGTGTAGCCATTTCATTATACCCATTAATTACTTACTGTATCATTAGTATATATTTCACCCCACTGGTCTTTTTAAAATCGTTATTTTTATCCCCAACTTTAGGTCGTTATCAACTGGGGCGGCGGGTGGCATCATGCCAAAAGAAGTGAAGCTTCTGGATTTTGCTATTTAAATGATGCCGTTTTGGCCGTCCATCGACTAGTTTCATCAACTCCATCAGAAATTTCACCCAACAGACAGACACGAGTATTGTATGTTGACCTTGATCTTCATCATGGTGATGGAGTAGAAGAAGCTTTCTGGTATAGTCCTCGTGTAGTTACGTTTTCCGTACATCATGCCTCCCCTGGTTTCTTTCCCGGTACAGGAACCTGGAATATGGTCGATAATGATAAACTACCGATTTTCTTAAATGGCGCTGGTCGTGGCAGATTCTCAGCATTCAATTTGCCATTAGGTAGTTTTGTATTTCATTCAGAAGCTTTCTTACTCCCTTTACACCTTCATTCCTCAGTAGTTATTTAATAACATATGTGTCGAAGGCACAAAATAGTCACCATGTTGGAAAACAACAAGTTCATCTCAGTTTACAAATCTATGTCAAAAACAGTGTTTAAGAGTTGATGTCATCCAGTTGGTCAACATAAATTTAATGGAATGACTTTTGCTCTAGTAGTATAGTAGTTGAGAATGTAGTATAGATTACTGAACATTAGCTTATATATATATATATATATATATATATATATATATATATATATATATATATATATATATATGCGTTCGTGTTTGATCTGTATTTACTTTAATGTCTGTTAATTTGTTGTATTTAACTGAAAATTTAATAATAATTTTTATAACATTTACCACTGGTAAATAATGGTTACTTTAATCGATTGGTTACTGAGTGATGACTAATATTACACTTTTCTAGTTTTTCATCCTGTATGTTTTCTTGTTCCCCTTTTAACATTTTCTAAACCAGTTGCTAACGTAATGTCTAATTATTCATTCTTAAAGTGAGCAATCACCCACTTGTATTACTGTTTCTTTTGTTAAACAACTGTCTGAATATGAACAACAATTTACTTTACTTTTTCAGTTTAAAATAAACCTGATAAACTAATAATATTTTGATTCTGCTAAAAAAATGAAGATCTATATAATTGATAATAAACAATATCGAATTAAATTAATTATCATCACTTTGAAAAAACTTGTTATTATATCGCAAAAATACATTAACAGAATTTGCTACATACTTTGTATATTTAACAAAAAAATAATGCCGAGTGCTGACTTGTATACTCATAGTATGAGTTTAGTTACCATAGCTTTAGAATTTTCTAGTATTCATTTTCTTTTAAAAATTAATTTCTAACCAAGCCCTTTTCTCACTCAAACTAACCACTTTTTACTAAGATTGGTATGTTAAATAAAAATATGTATCTTTATTAACAGGTCTGTGTGAATAGCATGATAAAAGTGTTGGATCCTAAACTGGTATTACATTTTAACAATATGTTAGACATTATGAATTGTTTCATCACTATGTCATGTGTCTTTCTTGATGCTATTATTCAATAAAATACGAAGTAGCCCACCGGTGACATTGAAGAAATAAGAAATTTTAGGTCCCGACTCAATTGTCGTACCCGTTACTGGCCTCTTTTAAGTTCGAACAGCTCAGTGATAACGTTGTATACTGTAAAGCTGGTTGACCCTGGTTCGAATCCTCTAGTCAGCATCAACTCCCTTGATATTAAAAGCGTACCTTGCTGGTGAGTGCCAAATAGCGCTAAACCTATGTCCAGGGTTTCCTGTCGACTACCTCGGACCACCGAACATCTCATAATGGTTACTCATCTCATCACTGCTACTTCCACTTTGTAGGGAAACAATATGGTAATATTTTATGATGAAAGTTAAATTTCTATACAACATAAATTTCGTAGAAAACCGTAAAAGGAGATTCTGATGTGTTGTTACAAGTGTGAGTCATTTAAAAAATATATATCTTTGTTTTTTTTGGACATATTTCATACTAGGTTTGGTGATGATTTTCCGAACAGAAGTATTTTAATTAGAGTCCTGATTCTCTCTTTTGACTTTTTGTAGTACCATTATCCATAATGTAAAACGTGACCTTAGTGATTAAATTGTAAACAGTGGTGAGTACTGTTACCGCCATAAGGTTTTTTGACATTTCACTGCTTGCGTATGGGTAAATTTTAAGTTATTGGAGTTAAACATTATGTACCTTAATAAATTGAGTTCTTTTTAGGGAAATAATTGAATAAAATTTTGTCAAAAGCTATTTATCTCGATATATGTTTACTTATTTATTTCTGCTTACAGAAGAAGGTATCAATGATTTGGACTGGTCAAATGCTATTGGCCCTATACTTGATTCTCTTAACATGGTTATTCAACCAAGTTATGTTGTAGTCCAATGTGGAGCCGATTGTTTAGCTACTGATCCACATCGAATATTTCATTTAACTAATTTTTATCCTAGTTTCAATTCAGATTGCGACCCAGAATGTAGTTTAAGTGGCTATTTGTACGCTATTAAGAAAATTTTATCATGGAAAGTTCCGACTTTGATACTTGGAGGTGGTGGCTATAATTTTCCGGATACAGCCAGGCTATGGACAAGAGTTACAGCTCTGACAATTGAAGAAGTTAAGGGCAAAAAGTATGTTGCTTTCAATTTTTTTTAGTTCTTGATCTACATTTTAGTGCTAATATGTTGTCTCGTTTTAGAAAATTCATAAATAATTCACTAGGTTCATCATCGAAGACTTAGTTCCAACTAATCTGTCATCTTAATTCTTTAATCTGTAGAATTTTGTAAATGTATGATTAGTTTGGTGTGTTCAAATTCAGTTGTTTTTTGAACTTGATGTTTCATTATCAAGGTGCGTGCTATCACCAATGTGACTTAACAGGATAGTGAAGTAACTTGACTTCTCACCGATATTCTTTATTAAAATGTCTATCTTATTGTGGTGTGTGGCTAGCGAACTATTGAGTTTCTTGTGACACTTAATCATAATATAGAGGATACCACTGATATTTATTTGTCTCAATTAGAAAGCTTAAAATTACGTATGCACTTTAATGCACTTGTACGAAACAGTGCTTATCGTTGACATGGGATTTATTCAATTTCTTACTGTCCTTATTGTAAAGATTTAAAGCTTGAATTTCAAATATTTTCACATTTTTGTCGCTTCCCAATGTTTTATTTATCCTAGTTAAAACTTATGACATCAGTCTAGATGCCTACTTTGATACGACAACGTTATAATGTAGCTTTTTTTCAAGGAAGACTATGTATAAATTAGTGGGGTCAGTCAGTCAGCTACAACGTAGGATCAGGCACATATATGCATCGGTCCAAGTTGCCATACCCCATCAAGACAACAAGATGGACACCGGATTCATAAAAGTAGTTAATTCAGAAGTGGTATTATGTATGGGAAAGATTGCAATAAGGATATAGTACAGGAAGAAAGAATTAGTTCGTAGAAAGAAAGATATGAAGCGATTTTAATCTCATAGTTTAAGGGAAGACAGAGAGTGTATACACCGACACCATTCTGATCGATTCTGAGCCATGTCACCAAGAGTCTCCAACTATTGGTTACGATAGTCACACGGACCCCAACCAAGTAGTCTGAATCTACCAACATGGCTCAGACTAGAAGTTAGTGTCTTCAAGCACTGATGCCACGTTTTGGTTTGACCGCCCCTAACTTTCTTCCAACCATCTCCAACACCGGTTAGCATTGCACGTCGTCGTAATCGGTGTTCGGGCATACGTAACACGTGGCCCAACCATCTCAGTCGATGAAGATTCACAACCTCATCAACTGATTTACCATCATTTCCTAATACCCTGCGTCTAACCTCACTATTACTTACCCGGTGATCCCAGCAGACGCCAGCAATATTTCTAAGGCATCTGTGGTCAAATACTAGTAGCTTACGAGTGTCTTCTACTCTTAATGGCCATGTTTCGCTGCCGTAAAGTAAAACAGAACGGACTGTCACGCAGTATACTCGTCCTTTTATTGATAGACGGATATCTCGCCTTCGCCATAGGTGATGTAAGTTGGCAAAAGCCAAGCGAGCTTTTCGGATCCGTGCTGAGATTTCGTCAGACACCAACCCATTAGGGCTGATCAGACTTCCAAGATAAGTGAAGTTGTCAACGCGTTCGACTACTTCACTCCCTATCCTTAGTTCAGGTGTTGACGCAGACCAGTCCTGGAGCAACAACTTGCATTTAGAGGGGGGAAAGCTCATTTCAAACATTCTGGCATTGTTGCTTAGTGCTTCCAAAAGACTCTGCATTTTATCAGCGTCTTCACCAAACAGGACTATATCATCTGCGTATTCTAAGTCGATAAGTGGACCTCCTGGAAGGAGATCAATACCCGAGAATTCAGTCGACGAGAATGTTATTTCCATCAATAGGTCTATGATGAAGTTAAACAAAAATGGAGAAAGTGGACAGCCTTGACGTAGTGGTAGAGGTAATAAGAGTATAAGCAGTAATCGGGAAAATTAGCGTTTGGAGATGTTATTCAAAGAGTATAATACAGTGAAATAAATTTGGGAAGAGAAAAAAAGAGACAAGGAGGAATAAGGAGATCAAAATTTGGGAGAACACAAAGAGTGTATGCACCTGCGCCATTGCAAACGATTTTGAGCCATGTCATTCAAGGTCTCTAACCATCGGTTGCTATCATCTCGCGGTCCCCAACCAGGTAGTCTACACCTACCAACATGACTCAGTCCACTTGTCAGTGACTTCATGGACTTGTGCCATGTTTTGGTCTGGCCGCCCCTAGCTTTCTTCCAACCTACTCCTATACCACTGAACATCGCACGTCGAGGCAGTCGGTCCAAGCCATCTCAACTGATGAAGTTTCACTACCTCATCAATTGATTTGCCATCCTTACCTAGTACCCGTTTCCTAACAACTGCATTACTTACTCGATGGTCGCACGATATACGAGCAATATTTCGAAGACACCTATGATCAAATACTAGTAACCTACGAATATCCTCTACTCTTACCGGCCATGTTTCACTGCCATAAAGTAGGATGGAACGAACTGCTGCGCAGTAAACCCGTCCTTTGGTTGATAGACGGATATCTCGCCTACGCCATAAATGACGCAAGTTGTTAAAAGCTAGTCGAGCCTTCTGTATCCGTGCTGAGATTTCGTCACACACCAGACCACAAGGGCTGATGAGACTTCCAAGATAAGTGAAGCGATCGACACGCTCAATTACTTCACTCCCTATCATTAGTTCGGGTGTCAATGCAACCCAATCCTGAAGCAACATTTTGCATTTCGAGGGGGAGAATCGCATCCCGAACATGCTTGCATTGTTGCTTAGAGTGGTCAGAAGACTCTGCATTTTGTCAGCGTCTTCGCCAAATAAAACTATGTCATCAGCATATTCTAAGTCAACAAGTGAACCTCCCGGTAGAAGTTCAACCCCTGGAAATTTAGATGAGGAGAGTGTTATCTCTAAAAGTACGTCAATGACAAAGTTGAACAAGAATGGAGAGAGTGGACAGCCCTGACGAACACCACTTGAGGTAATCAATTCTGATGACAGTTCGCCATAAGCTCTCACTCGACCAGTTGTGTTCGAGTAGAGAGCCTTTATAAGGTTAATGTACTTCTTTGGTACTCCTTTCAGTGACAAACACTGCCATAGAACCTCACGATCAACAGAGTCGAATGCCGCCTTAAGGTCGAGAAATACTACCATTGTGGGGCGTCTGAACGTATGTCTGTGTTCTAGAACCTGACGTAGTGTGAATATCTGATCTATACAACCACGTCCAGGTCGAAAACCAGCCTGATTTTCTCTAGTCTGCTCTTCACGAGCTTTGGTTAGGCGTCGAAGTATTATTGAAGCTAATATTTTAGACACTATATTAGTCAAACTGATTCCTCTGTGATTGTCACAAGAGGACTTTTGTCCTTTCTTATAGACTGGCACAATCAGTGATTGAGACCAGTCAGATGGGATTACGTCCAGTTCCCAAATTCTACCTAAGACCTCAGTTAATCTCACTGCTAATACTGGACCACCATCCTTAAAAATCTCAGGAGTAAACCTGTCAGGGCCTGCTGCTCTCCCTCGCTTCAGATTTCCTATGGCTTTTTCAACTTCGTAAAGAGACGGAGGACCTACATTAACTTGCCATTCAGGTTGACTGGAGATCGTGGGAAACCGAAGTGTGGCTGAAGGCCAGTTGAACTGATCCCTAAAGTGTTCTGCCCATCGATCCAATCTCCTGGATTGAGAATGTATAATATGTCCATCTTTCTCTGAGATTGTTTCGCTAACAGTCGGTTTCCTAATACCGGTTTCCTTAACAAGTCTGAACAATTGTCTGCTATTACCTATTGCCGCTGCCTTTTCCATCTCTCTTGCTTTCGCTACCCACCACTGTTCACGATCATTGCGTAGACTTCTTGTCAGCTTGCGCTTAAGCTGACTCCGCTCTTCATTATGTTCAGAGCCAGGTGGAATGAGTTTCCGAGCATCTATCAGTGAGATAGATGCTGCTGAGATCCAGTGTTGCTCCCTAACCTTACGAGTTACCTTACTAGCAGATATCACTGCTGTTTCCACAGCTTTTCGGATATCATTCCATGCTGCCTCGGGGTGGGCATCACATACATGGCTGCCTAACTGTTTTCCTAGTTGTTCCTGAAATATACTCTTAGCTTGACTATCATTAAACAGGACCCTAAGAGGTTTCCTTGCAGCGTCTTTCTTACGTCCAGTAAGACGTAGGCAAATACGCGCTCGTACGAGAGCATGATCTGAATCTAAGCATGTGCTCCAGAATGAGCGACAGTCTTCTATCGAGCCCCTCCATCGGTGGCTGATAGCGATGTGATCTATTTGGGTCCAACGTTGGGACGAATTAGGGGGTCTCCATGTTAAAAGATGTTTTTCCTTATGCCTAAAGTTAGTATTTGCAAGAAAAAGGCGGTTATCTGAGCATAGCTGCAACAGACGGTCGCCATTATCTGTTCTTTGTTTATTTATTATTTATTTATTTATTTGGACACATGAATATTGGTACAAGAGAGCGCCAATATATATGCGCCACACAAAACAATTAAAATTCGAGAGAATACAAAGAAAGAAAAAAAAGCTAAGGAGCGCAACAAAAAAAAGAGAGAACAATAACGAAGAGATTGGTGTAAGGTAATGTGCTAGTAATCAGGGAACGCAAAGGTACAATCAGAAGAAATCTTTCAGGTAAGGGAGACACAACCACTTTTTATGAAGAAAGTAAAAGAAGGTTACAGCAGGATCGCCACTGGCTTCTATTCTGAGCCATATCTGATAACGTCTCTAGCCACTGTGTAGCACCATCTCTCAGACCCCAACCAGGGAGTCGTGAAGGACCAACACAAGCCAGTCCTTTGCAGCTTTCTTTCATGCCACGACACCATGTCATGCACTGACCACCTCTCCGCTTCTTCCAACCAGTCCCAGAGTCGGCAAATAATGCACGACGTGGAATTCTCTGGGACGACATTCGGAGAACATGTCCAAGCCACCGAAGTCGGTGTTTCAAGATGGTGACACCAATTGAATTATCATCTCTGTGCCCGAACACACGATGCCGAACCTCTGCATTA